ATATTGACAAAGACAATTTCATGGCTGAAATCTTCACAATTGTTGACAGATTTCTCCTTTGATGACTTAAGGAGAAATTGGGAAGCAGTGGCTTCTACAGTCTCCACCAAGAACAAATTACAAGTTGATTGGAAACCCCCACCAGATGGAGTGGTAAAATTGAATTTTGATGGCAGCTGTCAAGGTAACCCAGGGCCATCCGGAATTGGTGGGATTCTGAGAGATAAAGACAGCAATATGTTGTCTCTTTTCTCAGGACCAGTGGGTGAAGGTGATTCTGTAAGGGCAGAGCTACTAGCATCGGTACAAGGTATACAGATGGCTAGTCAAATAGGAGTTAACAATTTGTTAGTAGAAGAGGATTCCAAGGTAGTAGTGGGATTCTGAGAGATAAAGACAGCAATATGTTGTCTCTTTTCTCAGGACCAGTGGGTGAAGGTGATTCTGTAAGGGCAGAGCTACTAGCAGCGGTACAAGGTATACAGATGGCTAGTCAAATAGGAGTTAACAATTTGTTAGTAGAAGGGGATTCCAAGGTAGTAGTGGGCTGGCTGAATATCCCAGACACAGTTTGTTGGGGCTACAGGGATCTGTTAAAGAAAGTTAAATGGATGACAAGAAATATGACTGTTAGGTTTCAATGGGTCAGCAGATCAGCAAATGCAATGACTGATTCTCTGGCCAAGCAAGGGGTGTGTCAAGGGCAGATCTGTTTTGGGCTACTTTGTAATTTGTGTCTCAGGTTTGGGCATGTTTAGTGTTTATGATTTAGTCCTCAGGGGAGGTAACATCTCGTGCCTCTTCCTAGGCTGTTTGTATTTCTGATATTTTTTTTAATAAAATTACTCTCATTTATCAAAAAAAAAAGTCTGATATGGGAACCTGTCCTGGAAAGATTGGAGAAAAAATTGGCTGCATGGAAGGCTAAGTATTTGTCCTTGGGAGGTAGAATTACCTTGCTGGAAAGCTCATTATCTAACCTGCCAGCTTTCTATCTATCCATATTTCCGATTCCGGGGAAAGTAGCTCAGAGAATTGAAAACTGCAGAGGAATTTCCTATGGAGAGGATGGGAGGAAGATGAGAAGAAATTTCATTTGGTGAAGTGGGAACAGGTGTGCTCCCCTAAGGAACAAGGAGGCCTAGGTATTAGACACTTGAGGGCTCTTTTAGGGAAATGGATTTGGAGATTTGGTCTGGAAAGGACAATGGGTGGAGGAAGTTAGTTGCAGCCAAATATAATGCAGATAGAGGAGATTGGATTACCACCTCTTCTTTCATGTCTTTGGGTTGCTCAATTTGGAAGAAAATTATGGAAATCCGTCCTACCTTCAGAAGAGGACTAAGTCCAAAGCTGGGCAAGGGTGATAGGCTGGCCCTTTGGAACAACCCTTGGTGTGGCAGCTCTCCTCTCTCGAATCTGTTCCCACAGCTATTCCTTTTATCTGAGTCTCAAGAGGCAACTATATCTGAATGCTATGAATTGAATGATAACTCAATGGTAATGGTATCCTATGTTTAGAAGAAATTTTCAGGACTGGGAGATTAAGAAATTTTCAGAGCTACTTGAGCTGCTAGCCCTTCAGCACCTGAACATGCAAATTGCAATCTGAGGATAGCTGGACATGGAACTGGAGTTCAGATGGCTAGTTCTCAGTCAAATCCTTTGCCTACTACCTATCTGATAACACCCTGGAAGAGATGTCTGCATCTATAATCTGGAACTCAATCTCTCCTTCAAAGATTAATGCTTTGGTTTGGGCTGCAACTCTAGAGAGGTGTTTAACTAAGGTCCATCTCTCAAAAAAAGGTTTTCAGCTTCAACACTTCTTATATGTGTGCTTTGCGGCCAAGATTTGGAGGATGGTAATCATCTTTTTCTTCACTTCCCTATCTCAGCTAAGATCTGGAATCACTACTTTTCTGCCCTGGAACGCGACTGGGTCAAGCCTAGGTCTGTAAAGGAGCTGCTGAGATGTTGGAAGCTGCAAGGTCTGTCAAAGCTAGCAAAAAGTCTGTGGAGGTTCATGTTCATTCCAGAGGCTGTAATCAGAACTGTTTGAGCAGAAAGAAATAAAAGACTTTTTCAAAATCTGTCCAAAGAACCAGAAGATCTGATTGCATTTTCATTTGGAAAATTGCTTTCTTGCATTTCAGCTGTAAAGGGGTTTCGGGTCCCTATGGGGGCTAGATTGTCCTCTGAGAATTTGTGGAATTTGTAATGTTCTATGATCTGTTTGATCTTTCCCCAAAATCTGGTTTTTGGAGGGATCATCTTGTACTGTTATCTCATCTTTAATAAAACTACCTTACCTTTTTTCAAAAAAAAAATATATATGGACTTGAAGTGGTCTACAAATCTCCTAGCAATCTCACTTTAATTAGTTATCTCCTGCCCTTCTATCTCCAATTTACCCACATAATTCTTTCTCCTCCCATTTGCCAAAACATGAAAAATATTGTGTTACCATCCCCTTCTTTTAACCATTTGCACCTAGATTTTTGTCTCTAGCTGGTCCCCTCCCTTAGTAAGGTATCTTCCAATGCTCTCTTTAATTTGCACCTCATAGCTCTTTCCTCAGCACCAATAGTCCCATGCGCTTCCTTGTCTAATTCCTCTATGTTGGAAACAAAATTTCATTCATTAATTAGAAAAGGTACATCAAGAGGCTGTGAGTACAAACAAAGAGAAAAAGAAACAATTACAGGAAGCATTAGCTTTCCTACCCACCCAAACACAAAGCCCAAAAAAGTTGTTGTCGATTAACTCCCTGCTTTACCAGGCTATCAGCCAAGCCATTTACTGATCTTTGTACCCATTTAACTTCCATCTGCATGTCCATTGAGAACCATTTAAAGTTTTAAACCCCCTGTTTTTGTTCCTATAGCACCAAGCAGTGTTTTTCCTCTTTCAAAAACCAACTGATAACCACTTTAGAGTCACCTTCAACGATCAATCTTACAGCTCCCAATTGCTTGGCTTTCTGTACACCTAAACTTGCTGCCATCATTTTTACCCTCACTGAGTCATCTTCCCCTATTGGACCTGAGTACAATCAGCCTTATAGCCTGCCATCACTTACCAGGCTATCATCCAAGTCACCTTCACCTCCAACAATCTCCCATGTGTGCTTCTTACAAAACAATAATGGAGAACCCATACATTACCATTTATATCTTGTTCTCGCATTTATGTTATTTGGACACTTTTTCTCCCTCAGTTGGATGCCAGGCAGATGCCACCTAGTGAGACCTGCAGAATCTTTAATCCAGCTTTCTTACCAGTCAGGACTGAAACAAGACAGGAATTCTGGAAATGTGCAAACTTTTACATGGGCCAGTGGGAAGAGGAGGGTGGAGGAAGGGATTTTAGGATCTTCTCCAAAGTCCAATTTATATTCAGAGTGGAGACTGATTCAAAGGAACTAATTACTTCTCGTAGATTTGAAGCAAGTTCAAGGTTGCTTTCCTCACAAAATAAAACAGTATCATCAGCAAACTGAAAATGAGTTACAGCAACCTCCAAGCTTCCTACCCTCAAGCCTTTAAACAGATTATTCTGATCTGCCTTCAAAATCATCCTGCTTAGGACATCTGCAATTTATGTGAAAAGAAAAGGAGAAAGGGGGTCCCCTTGCTTCATTCTCTTTCTTTACTTTGATTGTTAACAAAATGTCTCTCTTAGAAATCAAAAAAATAGAAAGGTTACAAATATAAGCAATAGGTAATCAAAATTTCAGTTTGTAGTATTTTTCTTCCTCTCACTAATTTTAGATCACCAGAAGAAAATGCTTCAGTCATCACAAATGATTGCTATCATGGAAAACCTCAGTCATGGAGATATGTTTCCTCTAATCAAGGAATTCATGGAGAGATGGCAGGTACCGCAGGACTTCTTATTTTGTAGCATGTTCAATAAACCAATTGATGTTTCCTGGTCTAAGCATGTTTTGTAAAAGAGAAAAGTACCTTAACCTTTTGTGCTTGAGAAGGTCAAGAGACATTATCAAAGGCATAAGTTAATTCTTCCACAGAAAAGTAAGCCAGTATTCATAGTCATCCTTCAAACCCTAAAATACGATAGCTTCCTACCCCTAACACAATCCAGCCCCAATGTTTTAAGCATATGTTAACATGACAACCGCCAGATAGTTAACCTTACAGAAGTGAACAGAACAATAAATGTCATAAACTAGTTCTTTCCAAGGACAGCGGAAACCCTTAAAGTCTTTTCTCTTTTATTTTGTGATAATTAACAGAAACTTTTATTAACAATGAGGGGTAAAATCTAAGTCTTCCCCTTTTCCTTTTGATAATAAAAAGAAAAACTTCATAACCTTTCCTACCCTGAAAAATTGTTCCCAAATACTTCTGCAGTAAAATATACCAAACAAGGAGCCTAATAAAGTAGAGCAAGGAGACAAGTAAAACGAGTAAGCCCTTCATTCAAGTTGTATCACGATCAAAAGAAACATCTTACTACTAAATAGCTGATAGGTCAATATTTATGATCAAAGAAGAACCTGTTATTATCCTCTCTTCAGATTGATCGCAACAACTAGATTTTTTTAACAACTGTGGTCAGTAAAAACCGAAGAGGCGTCAATTAATAAAGTAATTAAAAGGACAATATCAGGATACATAATTTCCTTAGTCGCCCAAACTACTGAATTTGCAGAGGTACGTATTAGATAACATCAACAAAAACTTACACTAAGTGATCCACTATCTGAAACACCAATTGATCCCTAGTGAAAAAGAGAGGAAAAACTCTATTTTAGCCTTCGGTTAACTAAACCGCCAATTTAACCCTCTGAAGGTAAACTAGATTAAATTGTTGCAACGAGAAACCGCTTTACATCAAACAAAGATCATTCGTTGCAAACGATTTAAGTCATCAAATTGAACACAGAAACAAGTAGATACAACTGAATTGCCAGAGCGATTAACATAGGAAGACATAAACCGCTGGAAATAAAAGAAAAGAGAGAGATCGATTACCAGAGCGAAAGATATCAACCGCTGAGGAATTCACGGACGATGCGTGATTCGCAGGCCCGCTTTTCCTGGTGGATGACCGTCTCATCTTGCTGAATTCAATAACCAGAAACAAATTGAAGGAATAGTATTAAAATTTCAGGTGGAAAAACCCTCGAGCAAGCGAACAAGCAAGCTAAGCTTTGTTGTTTTCGTCGCCCGAAATCTTTCACGGAGCGCCAAACGAGATTTCGTTTTTTTCTTTTTTTCAGATATATAAAGATAAATAAGACAGACAAAGAGAGGGAGAGGGAGGTGGTGCCACCGACTTCCCTTCGTGTTCAGACCTTCTTCGCCGAAAGAACGAAGATGGAGCCATCCATGGTCCATGGAGGTAATAAATTGTGCCCGTTCCGCAACTCACACTTTAGACCTGGACCCGGTCCCAAAACCCGATTGGCAAGGGTTAGAACAGGTATTTGATTGCCCGAATTCGTATTCGACCCATTAACGATGGCTCGAATTCGATCCGTTTATAATTACATCGGACATGGGCTTTTTCACGCCTCTCTCTCCATATAATTAGATTTATATCATATCTAATTTTAATACAGAAAAGTACGGACAGGCTCAATATAGATTTCTGATTTCCACTGTAAAGCCACAAACATGTAAAATGTCTATAACCCACATTCTATTCACCAATGTCCTCTCATGAATTTGCATCAATTCTGAGCTGGCACCTATTCCCATTGCAATCTGAATTTTAGTCAAATCCAACATAAATCCGATGGATAAGATTCGATTTGAATTCAAATATAAATTAATCAAATTTGAATCTACTAATATCGGATTTCATTCTAACCATTGGTAATTCTAATCTAAAAAGGATCTGAGCCTACAAGTTTACCAACCTTGGACTTCAAAGTCCATAAGGTTACATTTAATTTGAAAGAAAAGTTAAGGTAGGAAAATTTGTACAAGGTTTATATAGATTTTTCTTTCTCTTTCTTTTCCTATCTTTTCTCTTAAACCAAACACAGCCTACATCTATCATTCATATCTTTTAATTGTATGCATATTTGATATTGCCAATTTCTATGTAGCAAAAGAGCTATGTTTGATTTGAAGGAAAATGTAGGAAAACCTATACAAACCGCCTTAATGAACCCAAATTTGTAACCACTCATCTAAATATCCATGAACCAAACCCCATCAACACCACAATTTATAAGATCTCACATTTTGTGGTCACAATCAGGAGACCCCAATGAAATGGGAACCTAAACATAGCAGCGTTTTGCAATAAAGATGATTGCAACACATCAATTGATGCCTTAAATTTATGCTAGTGTGTGTTCACGTTTCATTGGGGGCCTAGATTGTGGTCAAAAGAAATGTAGTACAAATATTTTAACTTATTAGGCTGCGTTTGATTGCAATGCAAATAAATTTGTACTGATACAAAGCTATGACAGTGCAAATGATTTGAATGTAAATTCTAATCCATTTTTATTTCAAATTTTAGTTTATTTTGTTTGATTGCAGGTTTGTAGTACATATGAAGTAAATTAAGACATGAAACGGAATAAAGTAAAACCCAAAACAAGATTAATTGAGAACTTAAATTTTTTTTCATTTGCACTCCCACGCATTTATATTAATGCAAATAAAATTACACTGTAACCAAACACAGCCTTAGTTTTAGTTTGTAGTGCAAATTTCATTTGCATTGATGTAAATGCAAAGGAGTATGAATTGGCTATGGGGTCATTCGATAACAGCTGAAGTTTCCGAGCCTAAAGATTTATTGCTTTTCTCTTTCTCTTTTAGTTGATAAAATAATTAAATAGTATTGTGATCTACCCAATTTCAATTTCAGCCGTTTATTCCAGCATCTTCAGCTATTATCAATTTGCACCTTACTTTTGCTTCAGTTTAACTGTTTTTATTTGTGTGGTATATCATATTATCATGGGATGAGCCAAAATCAGCACCCTATTAGGGGTGTCAATTGAACTGGATTTGGTCCAATAAATCCAATCCAATGAATATTTTGAATCATTTTGGATCTATACAATTTAATGTTTGGACCGTCTAATCTATTCAAATTTGTTTTGATTGGATTAATTCTAACTCAAACCTGATTCATTGACACTTATATTATTATCTTCCATCAATGGATCAAATATTGGCTCAATCCAACCTAATCTAATATAAATTTATTACGGATGGACCAGGTTCAATCCAATCAATAAAAACTTTAGACCATTAAGTTTAGACTAGTCCAATTCAATTTGTCTTATTGATTTGTCCAATCCATCCAAATTGATTTTGGTTTGAATAGGTCCAATCCATTTGGCCATTGTAATGCTATCCACAGAAAGTGCCCATATGCACATTTCACCATGCATTAGGAACATCTCCGGAGCACATCCGAATTCCTATATGCGGGTTTGCCTGTGTCACACACCATATACCATTTGAAAAAACAAAATGAGGTTGGATCTAAATTGTTGAATCTTGCACATAATAGATGGCCTAGATTAATTGAATGGTCGGTTCATGGCACACCGTTTAGAATGTCTCGGATAAATGGTTGACTCTTGGCAAAATGATTTTAGATTTAGATCGATAGCTCAAACTCTCTAGCGTATCTAGAACTAGAACTAGAAGATTTCTTACAAGGTTCAAACGTTTTTGCTAAAACTCCCACGGCAAAGTAGAAAATGATCAAGTTCCATATCTATTCTTTTATGACCAATTGATGTCTTAGAGCTTGTTAACGTAAACTTCTAATCCGAGCGGGGGCATTGGTGTGGTCCAACATTGGATCAATTCCGACAAGTAGAGTGTCGTGTCGTGACTCTTAAAGCGGAGGGCACCGCGTCAGGCTGGTTTCACAGAGCAGCGACAACCTCCCGCTCCCGTCGGTGGAAAGGATGCTTCCCTGATCCACTCATGCCGTAGGAGTCGAGCTCAATTGGATGACTACCTTTATTTTTTTGCTCTTTGATCAACACCAACTCAACTCAGTCTAGCTTTTTCTGTCAAGGTCAAGGTTTCTCTGCTTTTGCTTCGTTGATTTTTCCGATTATGTTGTCTTTGTGTCGTAGCTAAAGTTTCTTGGTTCTATCTTTATTCAAATTTGTGTAGCATATTTTGAAATTGCAAATGAATCTGCAGAATTCCATTACAACACCTTTCTTAGCATTTGGGATAACCTATGTTTTTTGGAGTTTTCTGTGATCACAACTGAATCACCTCCGGCCCATGTGGCATATCTGGGTTGATCGTGGACATCTAGCTCCTGGTAGTTCAGCTATCTCCAATCTCAAATTCATGGCTTTGGTGATATAGGTTGATTGATAGCATAATTGTTTTGTCTAATTAATCATTCTGGTGGCTACGACACAATTTTTGGCTTGCGTGCTGTATGTTCTTCTTAGAATCAATTCCTTTTTTTCTCTTTTATTTTTTCTTAATCTGCCAATGTTGTTTCTCCTAACTGGGTTCTACTTAAACATATTATTATAGAGAAAGAACCATATGATCCATTACACATAAAGGGAACCAGAAAGAAAAACCTTCACTGAAAATGCCTTTGTTGGAATTGGTTTTGGTGTTGATGGTTTCCTTTGAAACTGTAGTCAAGATGTGGATATATGGTGGAATAGCATCTAACCATCCAGATTGTACATTTCATGTTTGAAAATATGTTTGGGTTTTCTACAGCTAGATTGCATTAAAGTGAAGGTGCTTGCAAGTTTTGAGATATGTAAATTCTGGGGTTTATAATATACTTCATATGAGTTGAGAATACACAGGCTTTGATGAGTGGAAAATTCCGGATTAGAATCCTCAACTTTGAGTCTAGTGCCATTTTGGTCTTTGAACTTTAAAATGCGACAGTTTAGTATCCGAATTTTCAAAACATGACAATCCAGTACTTGTTGTTAATTAGTTGTTAAGTGACATTTAAAAAGACACATATTTCCTTTGAGTGTCATCTAATTTTCTTTAACAACCATCCAAATATTGACAAAAATTTAACAGTCTCAAATCCTTGCCTCTTCTATTCAAGAAAGTTGGGGTCACCAGATTCCTAGAATGTCCATTCAAAGGTGACCCTAACTTTCTTGAATGGAAAAGGCAAAGATTTGGGACTGTTAATTTTTTGCCAACGTTTAGATGGTTGATAAAGAAAATTAGTTGACACTCGAAGGGCATTTATGTCTTTTTCAAATGCCACATAACGGCTGTTAAGTACTAGATTATCACATTTGAAAAGTTTGTATACTGAATTATTGCATTTTAAAGTTCGGAGACCAAAGTGGCACTAGGCCCAAAGTACAGAGTACTAATCAGGAATTTTCCCTAAGAAAAAGCCATATATTTGAGTTCTTTCTTCCCTTCTGGATAGAGTGCCTAGCATTCTGATATTGTGTTTTAAATGAAACTTGTCCTCAATTCCCCAGTTTAAAGTTGATCTGGGGATAGAATGTCCAGGGAAGATTTGTTGGGAAGAAACTAAGTTTATCCACAAACTATTTATCTCCCAAAAATAAAAACTTGCTATCACAATTCCAAACAAGATATCAACAAAAACAATCATAAGCCAAACAAAGAGAGACACACACGATATTTAACGTGGAAAACCCCTCCAATGTGAAGGGTAAAAACCACGGGGCCAAGGAGACCCAACAAAAAATCTCCACTAATAACTTGAGGTAACAATTACAGCAACTCAAACACCACAATATGCTCACAAACTTAGAGCAAATACAGATTCTCAAACATACAA